GCTGTCCGCTCGCACGGCACCGCGTGTCGCAGGGGCCGCCGCCGCGGCACGCTCTAAGCAGTTGTTCCCGGACCGTGTCGTGGCTGGGGCCGTTCAGGAGGGCAAGAAACACACAGACACAATTAATCGTCGACTCCCAGGAGAATAGGGGAACATATGGGAAGTGGGGGGGGGAAGACAAAAATCCAGGTCATGGCTGGGGCCATTCAGGAGGGAAAGAAACGCACAGACACAATGAATCGTCGACTCCCAGGAGAATAGGGGAACATATGGGAAGTGGGGGGGAAGACACTAATCCGGGAGATATGGGGAAACATGGGGAATCCTGTCATGTGTGTGTATTTATGTGTGTGTCCCAGGGCCCCTTCAGCCATGACATTTGCCCAAGTTTCGTTGCCCCCGCTTCTTCTTTCAGCATGTTTTTTGCACCCCCCCCTCCCCTACAACCCTCGTCGAAATTGAACGCAAGTCTTGTCCACCCCCGTCGCCCCCGAAGTTCAATGTTCGTCGACAGGCGCATCGCGGCCGGCGGGGTCCGAAGAAAATCTCGAAGTCGCCGGCGTCGGCTTGAACATTGAAATTGGGGGTCGGGGGACGCCGCCAGGTCGCGGCTAAAACTTGCGTTCAATTTCGACGAGGGATGTACCCCTCCCCTGGACCGCGCACGTGCCACGGGCCATGATTTCGCGAGCCCCCTTCTTGGACGCCCCCGGGGGTCGGGCGGTTGCTCGTGTCTGTGCTCGTGTGTTTCAACCTGCTTCCCACGTGCTTCCACGTGTTCCAGCATGCCTCGATCTGCTCCCACCTGTTCCCGCTTGCTTGCACATGCCCCCACTTGCTTCCACTGTTTGGGGTCTAAGAGCCAGTACCATTTCAAGCTGATTGTCCGAACTTGCGTTTCACATCAATTGGATGGATGGCACAGGTCAGAAATCAGCGCAAGCATGCAGGATTTGAACTTCTAGCGATGCGAAGAGGTTGCTTGAAAGATTCTGGCGATACACAATATCGTAATCGGCTTCCTGGTAGATCGCGCATTGTCGCATCCAGGCCGCACAACGGGCCTCCTGATCTTCCAATGGTGCAGTCTGTAATTCCGCTGCACCTGTTGCCGACGTGCCGACGTCTCACCATCAAGATATGTGTCCCTCTCCCTCCCTCTGCTCGTCCCCTTCTGAGCAAAACAGAGCGGCATGAACAAGACACTCGTGAGGCCTTCACGGATTTCTTGTGTAAGCATTGGCCCCCCTCTCCCTGGCTCGGGGCGCGTCCAGGGTGAGTCCAGCGCTGGCCCAAGAAGTCCGCGAGGACATCCGACTGCTTATATATCGACGGCGCGCCCAGGGGTGAAGTGAGAGTGGGCAGAGTTTCTCAGAAGGCGGCGGGGCTTCTCAGCGGCCCTTCGGCCTTCGGAGAAGCCTTCCAAGGCTTCGAAGATCGCCCAGAAGGCCGGAGGCTTTCCGAGCCTTCCCTTTTGGGCTCGCCGCCGACTTCGGCCCTCAAAGATAAGACGCGCGGCGCCCGCCGTTCGGCTGGGGCGCTCTCCGTCCCACAGGGTCGCGTTGATCGGGCCCAGAATATTTAGCACCGGGTCGGTAGAGGAGGAGGAGGAGGAGGAGAAGGAGGAGGAGGAGAAGGAGGAGGAGGCGGAGGAGGAGGAGGAGGAGGAGGAGGGAGGAGGGGAGGAGCAGGGAGGAGGAGGAGGAGGAGGAGGAGGGAGGAGGAGAGGCGGAGGTAGGAGGGGGGGAGGAATATGAGGAGTTGGTTTTCTGGTGTATTGGTTGACTGGTGCATGAAGGTGGAGGTACGTTTGGACCCCTCCCTGCAGCCGTCTTCGTTGGCCGAGGGGCTGCAGGGAGGTCCTCGGCCCCCTCCGGTGGCAATTGACGCCATCATGTATAGGTGTGGGGGGGGGGGGAACCCACGCAGCCCCTGTGATGGAAGCTGCGCGGGGTGTGAGGCCAATTGGCGGTCCTCACGGGCGAGGCCTAAAGACGGTCCTCACCCGGGGGGGGGGCGAGAGGGAGGGGGCGCGCGCGGTTCTCGAAGAGGTCGCTCCTGAGGACGGTCCTAAGGCAGGATTCCTGAAAAAGGGGTCCGAAAACGGCATACGCAGTTTCGACACCGAAACTGGACATGCCCTACGAATTCGTTATCCCATGGGGTGGGATAGCAGCTGGGGGAATGACTCGGGGGCAGCGTTTATTCGACCGCGGGTCGAAAGCAGGAGGGTCGAAGGGGAGGGAAGGGAGAGAGAGAGAGAGAGAGAGGGAGCAGGGGTCCACTCGGCGAGGAAGGGCACATAAACGGCCTGCCTCTTCGACACCAACACGGGCGTTCTAACGTGCTCCGGAAACGCTGTTCCGGAGCACGCTAGGCAAGCACATATCCGACAGTCCTGGCGGGGATACCTTAAGGAGGGACGCAGTGAAGGGGCAGGGGATGGAGGGGGAGTCGTGTTGTCATTCGGACAGAGGGTCGGAGGGAGGGAAGGGGGAGATTTTCTAGAGTCCCACGCCGCCACGGCCGGACACGGCTCGGAAAACTGGCACGTTGGGGATCTGGGAGAAGCCGGGGGACCGCCGAAGCGGAAACAAAAGAGAAAACATGCCCTTGCGATTTGGGGTTGTCCCTGTTCTTGATGAGCATGGGTTAGAGGTCGCTCCTGAGGACAGTCCTAAGGCAGGATTCCTGAAAAGGCGTCTGAAAGCGGCATACAAAGCTTCGACACCGAAACTGGATATGCCCTACGAGTTCGTTATCCCATGGGGTGGGATAACAGCTGGGGGAATGACTCGGGGGGCAGCGTTTATTCGACCGCGGGTCGGAAGCAGGAGGGTCGAGAGGCGGGGAGCAGAGAGGAGAGGAAAGCCCAGGGGCACCTGAAACGGGAAACCTGAAAAGAGGATAGCGGGCCTGACCGGGGGACCTGAAGCCGAAGCAAAGCGACAGGGGGGGACGATCCAAGGCGGCCCCTGGACAGCTCTCGGCGAGGGCCGCTGCTCCGGACGTGTAGATTGGACGGCGGTTATACCCATCCATAGAGAAAGGCGGGGGGGGGAGAAGGAGGGGAGTAGGCCCAGCCACACACCTGCGCCCCAAGTGGCAGACGGAGGTGGCTGGGAGGGGTTTACATACCCGTCCTTGGAGAGCTCGGTTATGGGGCGGGGATCGGGAACGACCTCATGAGTGACGCCGCGGCGGCACACGTGACACCGCGGCGGCACGGGTCGAACCGTCACCCTTGGTGTACTGGTGTACTGGGTTGGCAACTGACGCCACAAAGTATTAGATTACTGACATTGACAGGCACCGTCAGCCGGCAGGGGATAAATCCCGTTCACGGCCCCATGGAGGAATATGAGGAGTTGGTTTTCTGGTGTATTGGTTGACTGGTGCATGAAGATGGAGGTACGTTTGGACCCCTCCCTGCAGCCGTCTTCGTTGGCCGAGGGGCTGCAGGGAGGTCCTCGGCCCCCTCAGGTGGCAACTGACGCCATCATGTATAGGTGTGGGGGGGGAACCCACGCAGCCCTTGTGATGGAAGCTGCGCGGGGTGTGAGGCCAATTGGCGGTCCTCACGGGCGAGGCCTAAAGACGGTCCTCACCCAGGGGGGGGGGGCGAGAGGGAGGGGGCGCGCGCGGTTCTCGAAGAGGTCGCTCCTGAGGACGGTCCTAAGGCAGGATTCCTGAAAAAGGGGTCCGAAAACGGCATACGCAGTTTCGACACCGAAATTGGACATGCCCTACGAGTTCGTTATCCCATGGGGTGGGATAGCAGCTGGGGGGATGACTCGGGGGCAGCGTTTATTCGACCGGGGGTCGAAAGCAGGAGGGTCGAAGGGTAGGGAAGGGAGAGAGAGAGAGAGAGGGGCAGGGGTCCACTCGGCGAGGAAGGGCACATAAACGGCCTGCCTCTTCGACACCAACACGGGCGTTCTAACGTGCTCCGGAAACGCTGTTCCGGAGCACGCTAGGCAAGCACATATCCGACAGTCCTGGCGGGGATACCTTAAGGAGGGACGCAGTGAAGGGGCAGGGGAGAAGGAGGAGGAGGAGGAGGAGGCGGAGAGGAGGGGAGGAGGAGAGGAAGGAGGGAGGAGGGAGGAGGGAGAGGGAGGAGGGAGGAGGGAGAGGGAGGAGGGAGGAGGAGGAGGGAGGGAGGAGGGAGGAGGAGGATGAGGAGGGAGGAGGGAGGAGGAGGGAGGAGTGAGGATGGAGGAAGGAGGAGGGAGGAGGGAGGAGGAGGGAGAGGAGGGAGGACGGAGGATGGGTGGGAGGAGGAGGAGGGATGAGGGAGGAGGGAGGAGGGAGGAGGGAGGAGGAGGAGGGACGGGAGGAGGGAGGGGGACGAGGGAGGAGGGAAGAGAGGGGAGGAGGAGGCGGGGAGGAGAGGAGGAAGGAGGAGGAGGAGGCGGGGAGGAGGAGGAGGAGGAGGAGCAGGAGGAGGAGGAGGATGAGGATGAGTAGGGGAGGAGGAGGAGGAGGAGGAGGAGGAGGAGGAGGAGGAGGAGGAGGAGGAGGAGGAGGAGGAGTAGAGGAGGAAGGGGAGAGGAGCGAGGGAGGAGGAGGAAGGAGAGAGGAGGGAGGAGGAGGAGGAGGAGGAGGAGGCGAGGAGGAGGAGGAGGGGGGGAGAAGGAGGATGTGGGATGAGGAGGGAGGAGGAGGGGGGGGGGAGGGAGGGCGAGAGGCCGGGGAGAGCGAAGAGGGGCACCTGCGACTCTCCGGGAACAGCTCAGCGCCCTTGTCCAGCATCGCCATGCGCTCCTCGCGCCGTGCGCGGCTCGGCTGCACGCAAGAGTGGCCCTTCTCCGGAGTGACCTTTGGTGCGCGGCTTTCGGGGGGCGCTTCGGGGCCAAGCCCAAGCGCGCAGACCGCCACTGTCCCACCGCACGCAATGGCCGGCAAGCCGCGCACCGAAGGTCACCCTTGCCGAAGGTCACTCTTACGTGTAGCCGAGCGGCAAGAATATGTTGCTCTTCCACCCCTGGGGCAAAAAGTCTGCAGACGCGACGCTGTCGAGCAGCCCCCGGGCACTCGCTTGATGGCCGCGGCTCGCCGAGAAAGAGGTGTGTGCGCCGCTCCTCGTGGGCGTTTCCCCTTTCTCCCCACCCTGCCTCCACCGCTTACCAGTTGAGTGCCGGCTTCGCGAGGACCGCAAAGGTTACAGGGAAAGAAACGATTACGCGTGTTCTGGGTTTCTTAACAAGCGTGGGGGGGTACACCCCCGAAATACGCGTGGGGGGGGGACCCCCCCGACGGGGGTTAACCTCGCCTCGTCGTCGCGCCGTGACGGGGGGTCGGAGCGCCTTCGGCGCGCGATGGCCGCCCGCGACGGGGGTCGATGTGGGGCTGTCGGCGGGGGTGACGCCCCCCCGACGCTTATTAAGAAACTCGGAGTAGGAGTAACCCTTCGCCTGAGTGACCTTTGGTGCGGGCCCGTTGGGGTCCCCCGATCGCCGCACGCGATGCGACAGCAGCCTCCTGCGCGCTCGTGGTTGGCCCCCCCGCCGGCCCCGAGGAAGCCGCGCACCAGGCATCACTCTTACGGCCAACCCGCATAGGACAGATGAGCAACTTTCCAAGCTTACACTCATGATGCTCCAACCTACTTTAGAATTGATCACCAGGAAGAATATCGAGCGGTCTTGAGTAGGATGGGAACAACATAAGCTTACCCTTGCATCCTTTCCCCTCGGCCCGTCCTGGGCCGCTTTCGCTGGCCGCGCTCTGCTCGCAAAGTGGCGGCGTGATCTTCCAAGGCCCCTGCATCCTTATCATGCGCCCTTCTTCTACGGGTTGGCTGTGCCCCAGGTCACCCGTGCGTGCAGTCGAATGGGGTCGGAGGCCACCAGCAGTCCTTGCCCCTTCTGAACAGGGCTGCGTGGGCGGTGCTGCCGCGGATGTCGTGTGTCAGCTCGGGCATGCGTCGCCTGCCCAGCGGCGGCCGCCGCCGGCTTTTGAACACTATTCGGTGTTGGGCTTCGTCCCCGCTCCGGAGGGGGAAAAAAACACACACAGACACTGATATTTGCCGATCCCTTAGAGAGCGTGGAAGATGTGGGAGGTGGAGGGGAAGACGAACGCCCAGGAAATGCGGAAAGCTATGGGGTTGATCCTGCAACCCTCGTCAAAATTAACCTCGAAAATGTCTGACGTGGTTGAACTGCTTGTCGGAAGATCTGGGGCCGAGTACCGATGAGTGCGGGGTACTTGCATGCGACGCCCCTCCAATGTCGGTCGACGTCAAGCTTTCGAGTCAACTTCGGCCAGACTATCGTTGCCCTCGCCCCGACACTGAAGGGGCGGCGCGTCGACACTGAGGGGCGCGCCGAAATCGAAATGACGTGCCAGCAACTTTTGAGTTGAATTTTGACGACGGTAGTTTAGAGCGTGAATTACCTCCCCCGCTTTCGCTTCCAGGCAAAACCAAGCCATACCACGCGCCTCCTCGTCACGCGGCCTGACCAGTACAGGCCGCAATTTGGCATCGTTTGGTATCTCTTGGAAGCGAGGGTGGTCAAAAGCGAGGTAGGTTTGTTTTCCCCCGAGTAGTGGGAGTTGTGTGTGCCCCCGGGCCCCTCCGCCCACGTGTCGCCTTCTTCCCCAGCTGTTGGGGCGTGCCGATGGCTCTGCCGGTCGCGTCCTTCTCCCCCCCGCGAGCTCCTCCCGCTCTCCCTCTCTCTCTCTCTCGTTCGTCTCCACCTCCCTCCTCCTCCTCTCATCTCCTCCCCCTCTCATCTCCTCCCTTCTCCTCCTCCTCCTCCTCCTCCTCCTCCTCCTCCTCCTCCTCCTCCTCCTCCTCCTCCTCCTCCTCCTCCTCCTCCTCCCTCCTGTCGGCGGAACATCGGCTCCTCCGCCCTCCTCATCGTGCTCGTTCCTCCGTGTCCTATCGGCGGTCTCCTCCTCCCTCGTCCTCCTCCTGCCCGTCGGCGGCACATCGGCTCCTCCGCCCTCCTCGTCATGCTCTTTCCTCCTTGTCCTCTCCACGGTCCCCCCGAGGTCCTTTTCGGCGTCGGCCACCCTGCTACATGAGCTAACGACAGTTTGGTTGCGGCGCGATTGGAACTTGCGAAGGGCACTCGGAACGCAGGGATACAAGGTAAGTGCGGCGGCTTTGGTGCGCTTCTGATCAAACTGTTTTCCACCTGCAGCAAGCAGCCAAATCAATGCACGCTGCGGGTAGTGTACCCCTCATGGGCCTGCAGACCCATGCTCGTCCCCAACCCCCTACTTTCGGCCCATGCTTTCGTTTAAACGTTTCAGGACGCGCTTGCCATGCCGCGACTGCCATGCCAGGGTTGATAAAGAAGTCACGGGGGAGGAATACGAGTCGGAGATCGAAAAGGAATAGGGAGGGGTGAGAGTGAAGCGCAAGAGGAGGAGGAGTAAGTGGACCATGTCGCCGAGGAGAGAAGTGGGAGAAGGAGGAGGAGCAGGAGGAGCGCAGGACGAAGTGGAGAAAAAGTATATATGACGAGCACAACAGTGGAGTTAGAGGAGGAGCGGGAGGATGAGGGGGAGGCACGTGGTGCCGATAAATGTGGCAGAATCATGCCCTTCTTAGGGGCAATGATGGAGATGGTCTGCGCACGGGGGACAGGATCAAGCTCGACAGAGCTAACTGTGCCCACTCCCACCTTCCCTACCATAACACGTGAGAGCCCTTGTCGTCACATTTGGCACTTGGGACCCGCTCGTGCTCCCATGCGACGAGCTCGTTCGCGCGCGTCCCCGCTGCCACTTGGTGCTGGAGGAGCAGGGGCCGCGCCCCAGCGGGAGCAGATATTCGAAGAAGCCCGTGCGCGGAGATCGTGGGGATACCACCACCTCAGTTCTCTCGCAGGCGCCTCGGTGTCCGAAGAGACGGGCAGGAGAGAGCACTCAAGCCGCGCCTGGATGCAAGGGCCGGCACGACGCGCGAAGTGTGAGCAGCGTTGGGGCCAGAGCGACATCTCACCCGCTCGCGCGCGCGGCCCCGCGCACAGTGTCAGGCGGGGGGAAAAAGACAGACAGACACAACAATGAGTCGTCGACTCCCCGGAAAATATGGGAAATCATGGGGGGAAGACGAAAACCCAGAAAATATGGGAAAATATGGGGAATCCTGGGATTTGTGTCGGTGGCTCGGGCGGGCGCGGCACCGTGATGGCGTCGACCGCGGCGGAAGCGGCGGTGACAGCAGCGAGGACGGCGGCGCCGACGACGAGGAGAGTGGGCTCTTGCTGCGTCCGTGGGCTCCTGCCCCGAGCAGGCTCCCACTTCTGGTGGGAACCTGCCGGGCGGGCAGCGGGCCCCTCTTGGCCCTGGGAGTAGGCTCCTACTGCGGGGCGAGGCCCACGGACGGCGCCGAGTCGGTGACCAAGGTGGTCGCGGCATCACGATGGCGTCGGCCACGGCGGAAGCGACGATGACAGTAGCGAGCCTGGCGACGACGACGACGACGGCGACCACGACGACGACGACGACGACGACGACGACGACGACGACGATGGCGGCGAGGCCGAGGACGGCGCCGAGTCTGGGACGCCGTGTGCGCTCCCCGCCGTGCCGCATCGCGGCGCCCTTGCCTCGGGCCGGGCGAAAGGGGGGGATTGGGAAAGGGGGGGGTACGAAATTTGCTGCATGCAGCTGGTTTCGCCCATTCCTCGATACATAAGCCGCCTCCGGCGCTGGGAGGCGCCGGGAGAATCAGCTGCGCGAGCTGATTCTCAACCCCCCCCCCTTTTGCGATCCCCCCCTTTCGCCCGACCCGATTGCCCCCCTGCCGCGCGACGCCCAGGCACGCTCCGCCGTGCCTCGCCCCCCGGGGGAGGGGGAGGGGGCCGCCCGCCCCGCGCGCGCGCGCCGCGCGCCTCGGGCAGGGGGGCCCCGCGAGCTGAGGGCACGGGGCCGCGGAGAGGAGCAGGAGGAGCCATGGGGGGAGGGGAGGACGGGGAGGAGGAGGAGGCGGAGGAGGAGGAGGTGGAGGAGGAGGAGGGGGAGGGGGAGGAGGAGGGGAAGGAGGAGGAGATGGAGGAGGAGGAGGAGGAGGAGGAGGAGGAGGAGGAGGAACAGGAGGCGGATGAGGAGGCGGAAGAGGCGGGGGTGGAGGAGGTGGAGGAGGCGGAGGGGGGGAGGAGGCGGAAGGGGAGGAAGACGAGGTGGAGGAGCAGAGGGAGGAGGAAGAGGCGAAGGAAGAAGAGGATGAGAGAAGGAGGATGAGCAGAAGCAGGAGCAGGGGAAGGGCCAGGAGGGGGTATGGTGAATAATGAACGAGGAGGAGGCGGAAGGGGGATGATAATTGCAGTGGCAAGTTGGTGTTTTGAGAGTGGCATGGGCGAGCAGTGAAAGGCGGCGCATTGAGCAGGGGGCGGGGATGGGAGCTGGAACGTGAGCGGGAGACGTAGCAAGACGACGACGGCAAAAACAGCGGCCAGGACGAGCAAGAGTTAGAGGGCGAGGGTGGATTGACGAATGGGGTGAGGAGATGATCGAGGTAGGGATGGCATGCACGTCTTGCGTAGCAAGATGTACAGATGTCGCATGTCGATGTTTGCTCGCTCTCTTTTTCTCTCTCTCTCTCTCTCTCTCTTTCTTTCTTTCATACATACATACATACATACATACATACATACATACGCACACAATATATACAGTTCCCCCAGAGGCTCTCCAAGGAGGAGCCTCCGCAAAAAGAGCTGAGGAGGATGCGGAGAATGCGCAGGGTATGGCGAGAATGAAGAGAATGAAGCCTGGAGGAAGGATAACGAATAGCATTATTATAACGGCGATGCCAGAAAAGGTAACAAGGAGTTATCGCTAAATTGTCGGATTGACCTTCCTGCCCTTCCGCCTGCACGCCAAACTTCAAGGACCAAGGTGCATGGCGTGAAGCGCCACTGCAGTCATGTGTATATCCGTAAGGGCTTCGCCCCCTGCCGCCGGCCCCCTCTCTCTGGGCCATGGAAGAGCGAAATCATGAGGCTTTGGCTTCGCCGTGAAGCAGTGTCGGGACCTGTTTGTTTTTCGACCCTGACCCTACGGATCTGCTTGAGGGGTGCCGCCGAATTTTAGAAATG